CAGAGCCTCGGCCTTGCACATGTACATTCCGGCATGCCTCATGTGCAGTTTGGGAAAGAACAATACCTGCAAAACAAAATATGGAATTAAGTAGTGTAGGCATAACTTTGAAAAAAAAACTAGCAGCAGCAGTATAAAACAACAAGACATTTTTTGTTTAAATGAGTCCGCCTGCTGACCTTTTCATGAGCTCAACATTTTAAATTCTGATTATAGCTAAAGTGCTTATTAAATGAAACGGGGGGGCAGGTTCAAATTTCTGAGAGGAGAAAACAGAGACGTTAAGGAAAACGTTTACGTCAGCGCAACGGACATCAAAGCTTGCCGCACATCAAAGCCCGTCCACCAAATGGTTTTCACTTCTGTACTCAAAAGTTACTAACTGTTAAAATGACGACCATCCCTGTGCAGTGAAAGTTCATAAACTAAAAAAATGTGTTTTTACAAGTAGATGGCTGAAAGGCGATAATTCGTTTGGAAACAAAACCTCTCGGGTTAGACTATGTAACATACTTTTTTGAAACTTACCGAAATCAGACAAGCTCGAGTTTCATTCTGGGACTTAGCGTGGTGCGTGGTGCTACTTCCAAAATGCACTTAAGAAATCCATTTTGGCGAACGTACATTTTTAGATTCTTTATAATCAGGTAACTACAATAAAATAAGGCCGGGTAGAGGGACAAAAGTGTCGTTGAAACATTCCTAGTTCCTGCGTCAGCGGATACTTCGGACGGCAGAGACAGACGCCATATGGCTAACTACCCCGATTTGGGCTTGCAGACGACTTTTATACAGGCACTAAGACTCCCTTGACCGAAGGCCAACTCCACTCGCGTCCTCGGGCCTCCTATCGACGTTGAGAGTTCGATCATCGATTTCGATTATGTCTACCGTGAACACGACAACAGGGGTGGTGCAGTGACTGTGACTTGCGTGTGCATTAGTTTAAACTGTCAGTAGACTTGCGCAAACTCTACAGCACTGAAAAGAAAGATCTTCGGAAAATAGAGTTGTACTCGTGAATTTTCGAACAGGTATCAATTGTTCGTCGTCAGACTAAATGAAAAGTGGGGGCTGGAAATGTCGCACAAGAGGTTTTGGGGCAGAGGTTACAACGAACGGGGTGGGATTGGGCGGGAGGTTTACGGGGATGTGACTCCTGCGGCGATAGGTTGTACTGGTGAGGGGAGGGAGGTGTGAAAGTTTGGATTGTGGGCCACGTGTTTGGGGGAGGGGGCAGGGGGGTTCAGCGTCAATGAAATTCTACGTGACCGAGTACGGACAGCCTCCTGTTGTTTCACTACCACAGAATCTACCTTCCTCGTCCACCTGCGCCTGGTGTCAAGGTGGAGTCAA